TCTCTCTCTCTCTCTCTCTCTCTCTCTCTCTCTCTCTCTCTCTCTCTCTCTCTCTCTCTCTCTCTCTCTCTCCCTCTCTCTCTCTCTCTCGTCCGTAGCGTTCGACGCACGGGATACACGTTTGTCGCGTTGGAGCGGAATGGCTTGCACGGCAAATGAAGTGTGGCCGAACGCGAGTACCGTTTTTGTACCCGTTCGGACCGTTTCCCCTGCGCCACCACCGCAGCAGGCACCCCGTGAACTCCCCTGCAGGATGCAAATGGGCTCGCGCGTTTTTTTTATTATTTTTTTTCCCAAAAAAATAAAAATAAAATTGCATTGGGCGGTACCCGACAGCGCACACTACCACCCCACACTTTCACAAAACCCCTTCCCCCCCCCCAAACATGCGAAAACGCGGTTCGCAGACCCCGTCTATTCGTGTCCAACGCGCGTTTGAACGGGGATTGAACGCGAATTCAACGCGCGTTCAATTTTTCAACGCGAAACCCTCGTTGAATCGATTTTCGGACACACAGCTCGCAGGCTGTCGAGTGAGAGAATCCTTCCGCCCCTTCCGCACCTGCCTGTCCAGCTGCTCATCAGTAACCTTGTCCGCAGGGCGGACTCCCGAGTCACGTGGCTCCGATCTCTCCTCCTCCGTGACGACGTCCTCGTCCTCCCATGGGAGAACGTACCCCACCCCCCTCGTGTGGCATCGAAGCAGTCTCATATTGGTGGATATCTCCATCAAACGAGTGAGCTTGCTAAAACCAAGCTTGTTTCGCCGCTTCACCTGAACGCGCTCGTGGACAGCCTTGTTCCTCTCAGCAGGAGAGGCACATGTCCACGTGTGCATCAGGTGAACCGCGATACTCTGCAACAAAGGGACACCGTCCCCCCACTGCACCCACCACTGAGCAACCGCCGATGTCTCCTTCTCCCCCCTGCGAGTCTCTGCATCTCGGTCCCCGTCGCGACCGCCATACGCACAATCGCCCTCTCGACTGTGGAACTCCTTCAAAGCTGTCCTCAAATCCTGGTACAACTGCCAATCCGGTCCTGCCTGCTGACGAAGGTAAATGCCAGCCTCCTCTGCCAACTCCCTCTCGTGGTCTGTCCTGCGCGCCCCCTCAAAGTATGCAATACTCCTGTGCCGCGGGTTAAGGAGGTGGGCCATGCAATGAGCAGGCTCCAACATATGCCTCCTCTGCGCCTGCAAACCTCTGACGAGGGCGTCCAACTCTGTACGGCTGGTGCGTCGGGTAGGCGCCTGAGCAACCCTCTGAATGACCCTCTCCGACCATGACCACAAGCGTGACATCACGCGCCCCCCACGGTCGAGTCTGCGCAACAACTGCATCACAGGTGTCATCAACTCCACAATGTCCTCGACGTCGTCCCAAAACGCAGCAAATCTGACCTGCTGCCGCACCCACCTCGACTGAAGCCACAAGCTCCGTCTCCACGGCTGTCGCAACCACTCGTCGCTGATCATTCGAGTCATCTCCTCCAGTGCGTAACGTCGCTCCAACAGTCGCTCTAACATGAGGTAATGTGTAGCGAATCTGGTATGCACCGGGTAAATGAGCTCCCGACCGCGACCAGAGGTGCCGCTAGAAGCCGATGACGGCGTTGTCTGCCCTTTGGCAGAGTGACGTGCGGATAATCGCCTAAAAAGGGCGAGGGCGGCCCCGTGTGACCGAATGAATTGCACGACCGCCCTTGCTCTGATGATCGTGTCCTCCCTGTGTCCAATGACACCATCTCGTCCATCCTTGCCAATGTCCGACAACATCAGGTTGCAAACATGCACCAGACACAGGAGCCAAGTGATGCGACCGCATCGAAGATCCTTGTCCTACGCAAGGAGCTTCACGGCCGCGACGTATGTCCCCGCAGAGTCCTTACAAATAGCATTCACATTTTCGAGGCCGAAGTCATTGAACACCTTCTTCCACCGCCTCACAACCACAGCCGTCGTATCCTGCCCAGCACCGTCCCTCTGCACTGTCCTCAACAGGTACGCCCCCGAAGACCCGGCTGCCAAAAAGTTGACTATCTGATCAGCAGTGATGGATTTGCAACCGTCCGTGAGGATGGTCGCTCCTGTCGCCGCCATATCTCTCCTCACCGTAGCGAGCATCTCCGCAACGTCCTTGTGCTGCTGCACAATACCATTGCCAGAGATGAGGCGAAGGTTGGGCAGAGTCGGATGCACCCGAGGGGGGCATGTCGCAAGGTGCCTCCTGAAGGTGTTGTACTCTGGCCTCCCCGCTGTGTGAAACGGGATGCCGCTAACATAGAACCACTGCAGGAAATAGGCGTCCAAGTCTTACTGCCATTTAGGGTCGAACGAGTTCTACATGCGCGACTGACGAAACTTCTTCGCGGCTCCTGTCGGCGGAAGGGGCTGTGAAGAAGTCGGCCTCTTCCTCGACGTCCCAATGCCAGTGACCGCTCTCTTATCTTCCCTCAATGCTCCACGGTCACGCTCCGCCTCCCTCTCAACATCGATCGGAACCTCCGCAGACCGGTCGTCGTCAGCCCGACGACCACCCGGGACACATCCGCTCTCAGGCGCCTCACACTCCCCTCCAGCCTGCTCGTTCTCTTCCTCCGCCACTCACTCAAGGTCATCTTCGTCTTCCTCTCCCAAGTCTCCCCCTTGTTGACCAGGTTATTGTCTCTTGTCTGCCCACCCCCTCTCCGCAAGGTATGCTTATATCTTCTTCCAATGGCTCTGATCAAAATGGTAAGCACTCTTGTTCCCGATCTCAGCCAAAACGTCCAACGTGGCTTGCGGGCAGTTGTTCTTGATTGTGTAGTGCAACGTGCACTTGCTCTGACTGCCGACGAATTCATGGTCACACAGCTTGCACTTCATGACGAAGTTCCCATTCCGCCCTGGCAGCATCTGGCCCTTCTTCATCCATTTGAATCAACGAACTTCAGCTCCGCATCTCTCTGCCTGTCTCTGTTAACAGGGATGAACTCTCTGTATGTTCCCCGACGCTTGGGCGGCATCTTGCTCGACGCCCCAACAGACCGCCGCCGTGGACCAACCGCTCTCGTGGCACCCCCTGCGCAGCGGCCCCCCTCCCGAAGTGCCCCTCTGTTGTTGCCAGCAGGCCTGCCTAAGAGCCCCCAGCACACCCCGCTCCCAGCGACGCAGGCCCTGGCCCGTAGCGCGAACAGAATGGCCTCCCCCGGGCCGCGGCTCGTTTAGGCGTACAGGTCGTACGCGCGTTCGTACAGGGCGTACGTACGCTGGTAGGGGCCGTACGTACAGTGGTACGGGCCGTTCGTTTTCTCTCTCTCTCTCGCGCGCGCGCGCGAGCGCGCACGAGCACGCCGTAGCGATGTCTTCAGCGCAGCAGCCTGCAGGTACTCTCTCTCTCTCTCTCTCTCTCTCTCTCTCTCTCTCTCTCTCTCTCTCTCTCTCTCTCTCT